TTGGGCCCCCCATGTGGCTCCGGGTTTTTCCCAGTCAATCCCCTGTGGTTAAACCCCCCATCCCCAGCAACTTTGCTCTGCTGGAGTGAGCTCTTCTTGCCACCTCAAGCAAGTGTGTCCACCAATGCTCTGTTGCCCTCTTCATATTCCTCTCTTGGCCTCCTGCAGTTCTGTGGTGGATTATACATCACTGAAATGACCACCTTGGTTCCCCAGACTGAAGTGTACCTACTATGTAGTCTCTTTCTCCCATCTCATCTATGCCTTCCATTTTCTCGAAATTTCCATCTGTTTTTTACTAGCAGAGCAACCCCACCTCCCCTCTTGCCCCTTCTATCTTTCCTCAGATCTGGTATCCTGGTGGGAAGATTGAATCTGTTATTGTCCCCCGTGAATTTTGTTTCTGTAACTGCTATGATGTCTGGGGACTTCTCATTGATTCTTTCTTGCCATTCTTCATGTTTATTCGTTAATCCATCTGCATTTTTGTACCAAACCTTCAACTTCTGTTCTAATACTGTAACGGTGGTGCGGGGGGTGGAACAGAGGGATCGGTGTGTGATGGTTGGTTTGGATTGTTCGGGTTTGCCTTGGGGGTGTCGTGGCTGGGGTCCTTCGCGGGTGTTTTCGGGGGGTGTGTTGTCCTTCCACTTGTTCCTGGGTTATTCTGCTCTCCTTTTTCATTTCCTCCCATTTCTCCTTTCGTTTCTGAACTCTCTCTTTCATCGTCTTCCTTTCCTCCTGTGTTCTGTCTCGATCGGGTACACACTCATGAACTCCTGCCTGCCTCTCAGCCGTGCTTTTCTCCTGCAGGATCATGGTTCGGGTTGATTCTGCTTGAAAATTACTTTGAGAGGCCGATTCCTTTTCTTTGTGAACCACCCGATTCTCCGAAAATTTGCCACCTGGGTCATTTCCCCTCGCCTAATCACTTTCATGATACCTTCAATTGCTTTTTTTCTCCTCCTGCTTTCTTTCCTCATAAGTTTCCCCTTTAGTTTCGTCTAGCCCATACACAAACACTGATCTCTCCCTTTCCACCTCCCACTGTGACCCCATTGCATCCTCTGATGTGTTTTTTGTTTCCTTCCCGTGGAGTGTTCCTTCAGTCCCTTCAGTGTGTGTGTGTGTGTGTGTGTGTGAATGATTCTTAGCCTTCATAGAAGGTAATCAGTCCCCCTTTGTTAAAGTTAAGGGAGCAGGCCTTAAAAAACCCGAGCAAAAGTGAAGGGTAGCCAGGAGGTGAGGGGCACAAGTAGCGTAGCCACAATGGAAGTAGGCTATGTTTGACAGTACTTTAGCAACAGAGCAGAGAAAACATTCCGTACCAAGATCACTCAAATATCCAAGTATCTTTTTCAACTGTCCGTAAATTTTATTATTTAATGACACTTGTCGGGTAAATTTACACCGGGTACAGGGGATAAAAAGCAATTTTTTTTTTTGTTCAATTAATATTCTTTGGAATGTTTTACTTGTATACAAAAGTACTGAAGGTTCAACTCTATTGTAATTCAAAATTATATAGGTTACATTAATTTGGTTATTAGCTCATACTGTGATTATATTTTTTAACTTGTATAATACTGTGATACTTTAATATTATAAGCCAGTGTTTGAGCCTGATGGATGTAGTATCTGAAACGTTAATCAATAAACTGGATACCCCATGAAGATATATATATATATATATATATATATATATATATATATATATATATATATATATATATATATATATATATATATATATATATATAATATATATATATATATATAAATATATAAGAAGAGAGAGAGAGAGAGAGAGAGAGAGAGAGAGAGACCAGAGCCTTCAACACAGGAGGGATGTGGGTGACCTTACTGTAAGTTATGTACAAGGCCAATATTGTCAAAGTACCACACTTGGATCCACTTCTAGGACAGCGTGAAACAAGCTTTTATGCCACAAGACGGGCAGAAAGCAGCAACTTCACTCTGGCTGTACCCTTCTCCAGAACATCACTCCATCTGAGATCATACATACCCAGGATGACTCGAGTATGGAACACATTCGTACAGCATAATGATGTCAACGAGATAAAGTTAGTTGATCAAATGAAAATGCTGGCCCACAGATGACTCCAACTTCATCCTGTTCCCTATTTGTATGTCTCATAACAATAAAAATGCTTTCAAATGAGCTGATGTAGGTAACAGC